AGAAAACTTTAAAAATAAAACATTAATACAATAAAATATTAACTAATTTGACCAGAGGGGCTTGGTTTAGGGCATGAGGTTTGGGGTAATGATTTGAAAAGTCATTACAAATCATTCAGTTTGTCAGGTGTGTTTATACGCACCACTTCCAGCACTACCGAGTTTAATCTGACTTCCTATTTGAAGGGGGAAAACTGGTGAGGCAGAACACATTTTCGACAGACATAAAACAGACATGCAAGTCAAAATAAACCACTCCAGAGTGAAACTGGAGACCTGCAACCCTGCCTGTGCACTGAACAAGTGTGTGTTTTTGAATGTTCGGGGCATTGGAACACTGATGGTTTAAAAAGGACCTAAAATGATCTGAGACTAATGTTTTCAGAGGAAAACAAAGCTATGTTCAAAAACCGAAGCCAAACTCTGAAGACCAACTCCTCTGGATCCATTAAGTGACAGGGTTGACATTCTTTCTGAATACCAGTCATCCAAAGAACTAAAATGATCATCAATACTACTTTAAACATCTAAACATAATCCCAATATGAATATAATACAGTATAAATAGTAAGGATACTTTGCCTTAGCTGATGATAGATACAAACCAAGACTTGTGTGTGGGGTCACAACATGACAGTCAGAAACAACACATCCTCATGGTGGATAGAAAACATCACTTAGCTAAATCTCCTTAATCTGGTGGCTCATTTCGTTCAAATGCATGATGATTTCTGCTTAATACATTTTAGAAGAATTGTACATGTAGTAAACACAGCAAAACCTGTCATGAAAATGAACTGAATGACAAGGGTTAATGCTACAGCAAGCTTTTTGCCATCAAAAGTGTTTAAGGAGGGTAAGTGGAATTTGATGCTTGCAACAATTAAATTATGATCCAGAGTTTTTATGATAATGTTCCAGTTAGATTTCAATATAAATGTTCAGGAAGTAAAATCCCAGCCTCTTGACATTTGCTGCATGTCTTCCTCCTCTCCCATTGTCCTCTTTACGCTAATCTACTGTGGAAAAAGGAAATAAAAGCCACTAGATTAAACAAATACTTAAAAATTAAATATCTTAGAAAATGAATGTGGAGTCAAGTTTTACACCCTTTTTCCAGCCCTTTCTGTGAGGGGCCACAATCACACAAATACATGGCTGTCTTTATTAGTGAGAATGGAGGTAGGTGTGAAGTTTGTGTGTGCAAATGCAAACATAGCAGAAAAAGCTGGCATTACATCGTAACATGTTGAAATTCCATATCAATTCTTACAATTCATACAAGACACTGAAAGTCATGAAAGCTGCAGTATCTAACTTTCACACAGAATATGTGTGAAAGTGGCTATTAAAACATATTCACATTTGTTAAAACCGTCACCATGTTATAATCTCCTCCACTGCCTCCCTGAGCTACTATTGCCATCTGAAGAAATGCACAAATCCCAACCAAAACCAAGCAATCAGAGCCAAGAGAAGGATCTTGGCGATGTCACTCAATCTCATGCTTTTGCTGCTCAATGTGTTAATGGGAGAAAAACAATTTACCATTACAGGAAAACCGTTTATCCATATTTATTAAAATAGCACAGCCATTTTAGGTGGCTGTGCTAACTTAGTGGCTGTGCTAACTAGACTGAGCAATGAGATTTGCTGACAGGGAAAAGCTGTAGCTGAGAGCAAAGGGAGAGATTCAGAGTTGCCATGTGTAGCAACAGACAACCAAATGAAACAGAGCTGAAAATAATTCTATTCAACCCCATACCTCAATATGCACCAAAAAGATCTAGTTACATCAGGAAAGAGAAAATATCGGTTTGCCATTTAAAATAATGGAAAATTCTGCTACGTAGACATGAGAAAACTATTCATAATACAAGCATCATCACTGAAAATCAGCCAAAAACACTGCAGAAGGGCAGTGTGTATCAATTAGTGAGTTTGTCTGATGCATGTGGATCCAGCCTTTCACTGCAAAACCACCTAGACAAGCCCCAAGCTTCCTTTTACAGGATAAAAAAAGGAAAGGAGCTATAACAACAAATAAATTCTTCACCTGACAAAAGTCATTGAATTCAGATAGCTACATGAGCATGAGTGAGAACAAAATATTGTTTTCCTTCTATTTAGTGGAAGAAAAAAAGTTGTTAATCAAAAGAAAAAGTTACTCATTAACACAAACCAAATTTTGTTACAAATGGGGTTTGGAGACTTCTTCCTAGTGTCAAAAAATCCTGAAAGAAGAATGAATTTACTTTGAGTCATAGGGAAGACAACAGTCAACAGTGGCTGCAAAACTTCCCGGTCATCAGGAGTTTCCCTAAAAGTAAAAAAAAATACAATTAAAAACTATGATGCATAGAGTACGTTGTAATGGTACAGTGCAGAGGAAAGAAAAACTAAGACTTCTTAGAGCTGACTGGTCCAGGAAAATGAATGTATGAATGTGTAGCTACTGCAGTTGAAAAAGCAATCCAGAGAATCCAGATTGTTAAAAAGAATGTTGTTGCGTGAAAAGAGAGCCATGTCCTCTACACGGTTGGAAATGCTGCAAAGTAGGGAGATGGAATCTGAAATTTCCAAAGACCAGAAAACAAAGCTTGGTTCTTCATAGCTGACTTTTCACCTGATAAGAGTGTGTTTTAAAAAACAAAAATAGAGCCAATATAGCCAAATTTAAGCTTGACTGGAAGAACAATACCTGGCCTGGTACACTGCATCTTGTCCAGTAGTATGAGCAGTCATAGCCAATAAACACTGCACCTGCATTGATTACTAAATCCAAAGGTACTGTTGCCATTGTTACAAAAGGACCCATACATAACTTTACTATCAGGCAAAATCACTGCAACTATACATTGTTTGGACTTATGCACAATCCTTTCCATTGATAAAATTATGTTGAGTGTGCCTGGCTGCAAATCCACAAGTGCAGGCCTTCAGCACATGCTTTTTTCCCCTCTCTCTCGTTTTCCTTTAATTTGCAAATCTTGTAATCTAAGCCTCGAGCTGACTGAACCAACTTCGAAACCAGCACAGCAACAGCGGCCAAGACTCCAATCTGTTTTCCATTTAAGTGTCAGGATGGCGTCCTTTTTGGTGGTTAACAAAAGCTGTTATTTCGAAATGATTATATAGAAAAAAAATTGTGTGAGGACTGTAGTAAGTTTATGAACAGGCTGTACGGAAAGTACTCCGCCGCACCCGGAAGCCTTTTTCCTTCTTGCGTCTTACCAGAGTGTTATTTACCAAGCACTTCTCCAGGAGGAAGAACCGGACGATGTCATCCACCCAGAGGTCAGGGTTTCTGCTTTTCAACGTACTGCATGTTTTCAGCATTAGTGGCAAGCAACGCCTGGGTGATTCGCCAAACCGTCAAAGTGCAACATGTCTCAATGTCAGTGAGGACATAGGGAAAGCAGAAGCAATGGCGACAGCGTCAGAAAGACAGAAGAAGCAGATTCTGGAAAACATCAAGAAGGTGGTCTCCGTCAAGACTCAGCTGAAGACAGACTTCCTTATTTCATTTCCTGGAGATTATATATTAAGCTCAATTTAGTGTTGCACTGCAGCAGTAAGTCAAAGAAGAGGTCAGGGGAAGTTATTGACTGATTCTATATAAAAAGTGAGTTTAGGAAGCAATGACATTTAGTAAAATTCACTTATTTCACAAAACCAAGACATTATATTCACAGTTGTAAAAGAGCTATGAACTGAGAACTTACATCAGCCCCAGGTACCATTCAAATTCCAACCATAGTGCCACAAAAAAGTCAATGAGTCACATTTGCTATTCCACATCACTCCCTCATTTTTACTTGTTTGCATGTTAAGTGTTCAATCTAAAAGCTCTCACCAATGCTATTAGCGACTGTCAAACCAGGTCGCCGAGCGGCTGAATAGGGGAATCTTTGTTGACGCGCCAGCTGATCAAAAACGCAATCCAAGTTGCATTTAAGTTGATTTATTTTGTCAATATCCAAAACTTCACAGTGTCCACACAGCATAAAACGGATCCGTAGAAAAAACAGTGAATAAAGACAAAATGTGCTAAATTGATGCGGTCAGCAAAAAGTAAACCTTCCCCCATCACCCACTCACTAAGATCACCCAGGTGAGCAACAGCTGATCTATAATCACTGACAACATCACGTGATCCCCACTACGCCTGTCCACAACAAATGCTAATACAGTTTTCATTTGTTGCATCTTAAAACACCACAAAAAATAAAATTCTTGTTCATCTCAAAAAATTTTCTATTTCTTTCCAGTCATCTCAGAAAGTGAAACTCATATTATACAGAACCACCACATGGAGTGACGTATGTCACCCCTTTGTTTTGTTGTAAATTTGATAATTATGGTTTACGGAGAACCAAAACCCATATTTCAACGTCTCAGAAAATTTAAACACCGTAAAAAATATCATTAATGAAACCTCATTGTATCGTACCCTATTTAGCTACTTTACTCAAAACACCTGCAAAGATTTTCTGAGCCGTTCAAAGGTCTCACAATCTGGGTCCGTAGACTTACATAATCGTGGGGAAGACTGCTGACTGGACAGATATCCAGAGCTCAGTCATCATCATCTAGAAATAAAGGTCTCTGTGAACCATGGTCCAACCCAGAAGAAGTTGGGCATTTTGTTTCAAATCACCTTTTTGTCTCAGGGCTCATCACCATGTGAATATGTCTATGAATGGCTTTGGCATTTTGGCTGTACAATTAGAAGCCGTTGTATCATTTACCATCAACTCAGCTTTACAAATCCACTCACTATGAACTTCACTGTCATCATTTATGAAGCAACGATGAGGGCAAAATGGAAATGTTTGCGAAAAATTACAATATACAATATTTTTATCATTTCTTATATTAGATAAAACTCATTAACCACAGATTTGCAGTTTTTAAAGTGAGCTTTAATATACAAAGCATTAAGAATACAGAGATTAGTGAAGAAATGCTGCCAGCTCTATGATGATTTATCAACTCACCCTGAAGAGCCTGCGCTCTTGCAGACCCCCAGCAATGGCCTCTTCTCAGCAAAGCCGTCTGCTTTCAGAGGACCTAGAGAAGAAGAGGAATCTTTGAATAAGACAGGCAGAAGTATTGTCTTATTTAAAAACAATCCTGCCTTTGAATAAGACATGTTCAACATTTGAGACCTCTGATGCCTCCCACTCTCAAAACTTTGGAAACCATGTTGGGTAAATGGAACCTTTCCATCGTTTTTAAGAAAAGGCGAGGGGGCAGGGGGTAAAGAACCATACTCTTGTTTATTTTGCGGTTTGGATTACAGCATGTTACAACCACAGCGGCTATTTAAGAAAAAGAAAGGCAAAACATGTTGCATTAAGTGAAGAGATCTGCCTTAATTGTCTCATATTTGAAGTTGGGCTGGGGATCAGGAAATCAGGGTGCTCAGATTGGAGAAGATGTCCCCTTCTCTTTCAGAAGGCTGTAATTTGAGGCTCAACAGTAATCAGCTTGAGTTTCTGTGGTATGGCGTGAGAGCATAAGCGGCGGCCCCATCAGTCCCCAACACTCCCCAAAGGGTCCTTTCTCCTTTCATGTTTGTCATCAGGCATTTTTCTCAGTCATAATCCTGAACTCTAACATAAATATTGCTTCTCTGAGACTTAGCAAAATGTCAGTTACTAAAATAAGGCATCTCAGTAAAATCAAAACATCTGACAAATAGAGAGGGATGTGAACTTTCAAGGAAATTATTTGTACGAGTATTTTGAAGAAGCAAAAACTGACATCAGTTCCAATTCATTTTTAAAACATAGTATGGGTAGTTTTGGTATGTCCTTTGTGGATGTTGCATATCAGTCAAAAAGGGCTCCAATAAAATGTCCGTTAGAAGCACTGGGAGCACTGGTTCTACCATCTAGAGAGAAAGTGAATATGAGTTCTGTTTTGGAAGCGCATACTTCCCTGTATACACTCAGAAAGGGAGACCTTGCTTATTAGATTCAACACCTATTTTCGGGGCTTGTTAAGTCCACCCACACACAGAGTTTCAATCCAGACAATTGGCCTTTTAATGGCCTACCACAGTGCAACACTGTTTGCACTCTAGCAGATTACAATCGGTATCCTACCCAGTGGCACAATTCATATTTATTTTCTGCTGAGAGAATTACTCCCCTCATGTGTCAGGCTATCTGCTGCTTCTTATTACTGAGCTTTGCTTTCATCCACTTCCAGAACTCTTCAAATGCTACCATTGTGTGTTGGTGAAATTTGCCAAAAGACCGGAACAGGGACGGGGAACAAAAAGCTGTTTTTCTCACAGAACATGAAATGCAAGAAACCAGCTTTTACATCACCGCCCAACACCTGCAGAGATTAAATTTGAACCTTGTGTCTGAGGAGCGTCACATCTTTCAAACAACTGAATCATGCGTATCCTGACTTTAGAAATAAGAACAGTGGTGTTTATTCTGCATTTCCAATTTCAATGTAAAGACAAAAGAATCTTTGACATATTTGCCACGGGGGGAAGAGGGGCGGACTTTCCATCCATCCCTCCTGTTTTATAGGTTACTCTTTTGCTTCAAAATAGTATTTGTAGAGAAAATTAGAACCAGTCAGGTAGTCCAAGAAGAATAACTCAGTGGTTCAAATAGGGCAGGCCATTCTAACAAATCTCACTTCTCCAGGTCACTGTGGAATTCATGAAGTAAGTACATCAGTACAAACTAGCTGTTCACATTAAAACCACAAAAAAGTTCCTGCTGAGAAGAACAATTATATATTGCAATAATCCCCAAGTTATTGGAACTGCAACAGTCTGCTGGACTGCAATGTTTGGGTGACTATAATATTTTACGGCAGCATATAATGGTGGGCAGTTTATTATTTATAATTTAAAAAATTCTCAAAAGAATTTTTACATATTGTCTTGACAAATTCCAATTCATAATGCTAAAAAAAATTATAGCATTATTAATATATATTTTCTCCACTCTGTTCAATGAGTGTCAATACATATCAGTAACTTCAAAAGTTTGTTTAAATGTGTGCAGTTTTAATTTCACTTCTCTATATAACTGCTGTCTATTTGTCAAGAGCAATGTGTGTGGTGCAATACAGTTATCCTAAAAATAATATTTATAAATACACTGCTCAAAAGAATAAAGGGAACACTTTTCTTAGATCTGAATGAATGAAATAAATATGAAAATAATTTCCACCTGTTGTCTTTTCCATTTGCACAACAGCAGGTGATATTGATTGTCAATCAGTGTTGCTTTCTAAGTGGACAGTTTGATTTACTTGGAGTTTTTGTATTGTTTTAATTTGTTGTTTTATTTTTTGATATATTTTTGTTTGTTTTGGATATATATTTTTGTTTGTTTGTTTTAGATTTTTATAATTATCACCATAATATGGACTATTGCGAAATGGACTTAGGATTTTATTTAAGTTGATATTCACACCAACCTGAAACCAGAAAGTATCTGGATAAAACTTTTATTTTGTGAACAGATCCTAAACAGAATTACAAAGCTAAATGTCACAACAAGCAGTAGAGACATTCTGTCCACTGGAGAAACATCATATCAAGGAGAACGGAAGATATAAATAAGACAATCTTTGTTCACCAATGGCTTTGATTGCAAATAATGTCACTGCTGCTGGGATGTTTGGACAAATAAGGCGCAAACAGAATGAAACCATCTGAAGAGCATGTAACTTTGGAAGATGAGTAAGTCGTGGGAAGCTTGTTTCAATATTTTTTGATACGGAAGCACAGTGCGGAGCAACTTAAATGATGGCTGAAATGTAGAGAACTCAAAGTGAAAGGAAAGAAGTGATGGTTGAAAGGTAGATTTTTTTTTCTGTTTAGGCACAGTGAGGTAGCTAGCACTCGCTACCACTAAATTATCTGGGCCTACCTCGCTAGGTTTCTGCTTGGCAATCAGTGTAGGTAAAAACATTGCTTTACAGTTCATTTTTCCAATTAAGCTTCAGTTTATAAAAGCCTGTGAAGCAATTAGATCTCCTGTTGTGCCTTCATGACCAACACTGCTGTGAGTAGCTCATAATGTCAGTGTCATATAAAACACTTCTTCATCTTGAGCTTGTTTGCAGTTGGTAAAAAAAAATGTAGGTGAGTATAAAACTAGGCATATTAATAACCTAAATCAGCTGCTCATGTCCCCTAAAACACTTACCTCTCTTGTTTGTCCCAAACTAAAATCTGCATGAAGCGGTATTCCAAGTTTAGTAGTTTGACGTCAATTTCGATCAGTGCCAATGTGACTCCATAGTGGAAAAGTACTGGATAGAGTTTTTCAAAAATTGTAACTTGGAATTTCCTTCCAGTTCTGACTAGGGATTGTATTAAGCAGTTTGTCAGTGTTTAACATGCTGCTGGGAAATCAGTGTGAGAATACAGATCTGTCCATTTTAACATTATTCATTTAAGATCCCATAACTGAAAACTTCAATACCTGTATACAGAATACAAGTTTATTAATTCTTTTTTCCATTGCTTGTGAGTGTTTTGGACAAGACTAACATTTAAAACAATCAACAGAATTCCAAGCATAGGCTTTGGAAAAAGATACTGACTGAGCAGGCTTTCCACCACTGACAGAGACAAGGCCAGGAGAAATCACAGACTGGTTTCAACATCAGCATGAGATAGCAAGGAGTGCTCTTTCATTTCAATGATAGAGCACCACTTAAAATACCCACAACCCAAAACTACACATAATGCACCACTGAGAATTAAATTTTAGGTGCTGACCTTGGATGGTGTAATTAAGTTAACCAAAGACTTTGTTGCCAATACAGGATAGACAGATTTACAGCAATTAGTTTAAGAAGAAACTTTTGAACAAGCAAACAAGCAAGACACCTTTTGCAAATTGTAAAAGTATAGTACCCTGGATATAATGTGTTTATTTGTAAATTACTCAAACTTAATTGAATTAAATGTATTTGTCCAGGGCCAATTAACAACACCTTACAAAAAAGTTATTTTAATCTCGTAGAGCCTAGTTATCAAACAATGTAGTCAAGTTCAGTTTATTAGTGAAATTGGTTAAAAAGTTTCTATCCCAGGAACTCAGTAGATTGCATCTCATCACTGACTTCCAGCATTCACTGTTTCTGGACGACCTCATAGTGTGTCGTTGACTTTACAGCAATCCCTTGCACCAAGCATGCATGTAGTGACAGTGGAGAAGAACATTTCTTTTTAGCAGGAAGAAACCTTCAACAGAACGAGAACCTGACTCATTACAAGCGGCTATCTGACACAACCAACTGATGTTTAGAAAACACAGAATATACAGATAAAACAAAACAGAAGCAATAATCTCGGAGTACTTTCTATGTCAGATGAAAAGATTCTGAACGAAAACTGTCATTGCTTGGTTGAAACTAAAATGTGCAAACAAATGAACATTTTTATTTTATTTTCATTCTTACATCTTAGTATCTTAGAAGTAATAAAATTAGTCTGCATTAAATCCTTTGGTTACACATATTTTCTTGGTCCAAACAAAAGTGTTTCAGGCAGTAAAAGTAAGGCGTCGTTAGAGATCTAATGATCACACAAGGCGAGTATGTCAATTACAAATATGGCACCCAAAATTTTTAAAAGAACACTAATGTTTTGGGCAAAGTTGAAAACTGACTCCTGTCATACTCACTGATGTGAGGAGCAGGAAGAATCCGAGCAGCTCGAACAGGTCCATGACGCACCGAGAACAGTTCCTGGGCTTCTCCTGCCAACTAGGAGGTATGGATGCAGAACGTGAAAACTCCTCAACAAGTACAGGGAAAACACATTTTACACAACAGACAAATATTATTTAAAAGTTCTCAACAGCTTACGTCAATGACAACAATCAGAGGAATTTCCAATTTAGCACCACATATTGAAGTGATACAATTCAAATTTTTTGGTTGGATGAAGTTTGGATAAGGCAGCCAGATATGAATCGCATATGGGTATAAAAAGCATAATAATTGGATATGGGTTGCATTTGCCTATTGTGTGAAAATGTCATTATATAAAGCAGTGAAAATGCATGAAGTGGGGCAAAGGTGCTGCTTCTTCAGCCACAGCAACATCACATACCAGGTAACTGGTAACAGTTCTAAAAGAGACACAACTGGTGTCTAAAGTATGAGGTGTCATTCATGTTCAGTTCTGAGTGAAAGCTGCTTCAACATAAGCTTTTCTGAGTTCAACCTACGTCAACCCTCTTAACAGCATGCTTTAGAGACAAATCCTGTAAACTGACAACTAAGAAATCCTAGCAGGATCATAAAGACGTTTGGATAAGATTGAATGTTGCAAACAATTAACATTGACTCATTTCACTGGTAAGATATTACAAGCAGCCAGGCTGGGTTTACAAGCTGCATATCATTTGAACTGCAACATCCAAAAGTGATACAAACCATGTTAATTATATCTGAACCAGCATTATTGAAATTGGATTGGTAATTAACTCTTTACATGTTAAAAAAACTGATTTTCAAGCTGATCCATCAAGCCAATTTAATTCTGACTGAATTCTGAGAGAAATCATTAGAATTTTGCTCTTAAACTGCAACCCAACTTCCTCCATTATTATTGTAATTATATTCGCAGTTCTGATTAGAAATTTTCTCAATGCCAACTCAAGATGTCAAAGAGAAAAACCATTTGGACAAACTTTGAACCAGCAAAATAATCTTTATCTGATTACAAAGACTTTTATGAAATTTAATGACAATGCAGAAGGATAAGATTTTTTTTAATTGCAATATACACAGAATGTATGCACAACTTGGAAATATCTACAGATAAACATTTATGAGTTTAAGAATAGGGCTGATTTTAAATGCCAGTTTTGCAGCAAATTGGAAAAAAACAACAAAATAAAAAAACACAATAAATGGTTAAAAGAAAAAGCACTTAAATGGAGGTCCGCATGTGAGACAGGTCCAGACTAGACTTTCTGCACTCATAGAACAGTAGTGTATTAGGTCACTGCTGTGTGTGGATCCTTGCAGAATCTGACATGTGTAATACCACATTGTTCTAAGTGCAGAATGCCCCAGTTTTGTTGTTCTTTTATAGGCTAAATTGCAGTGAAACATGCATTATCACTTTAGTGGTGCTGTAATATGTTTTGTTTTAAATCTTTAAACCCATCCAAAGGGATGATCACTCTTTTTGTGCAATTAGTAGCCGTTCCAAACTGATGGATTTGGAGCTATGTTTTTATTCAAAGAGGCCGAGTGATGGAAGATTAACACTGCAGATATGGGTTTGTTATATGAGCACCAACAGCCACCAGCACAATAGGATTCCTATGGAGGCAAATGGACCTGCAAGGGACAATAATGGAATTTGCTGGATTAAAATGAGAAGGGGAAGGCTGAAGATTAATGCGCAGGGTTATTGTGCATTACCCTGCAGCTCATCCTCGCCTTACATGGCTCTGTGTGACATCCTCTGCCATCAACATTTATAGCATTACTTTAGTAGCACAGAGTGTGCAATATGCTAAATTGCTTTCTCAAAGTTGCATTCCCAGCATAAAGCCATTCATTATATTCATTTCATTTGTGGTTTGGTTGTTTTTGTGAAATCACAGTGTCTACTCCTCTGTTTTAATCTCTCAAATGTAGTGCTGTGAGCTGTTAACAGATATTTGCTCCATATTCACAAGTACTAGATGCATGCACTAACACTGTGCGGCGGGCATATTGGAGGTATGGAGGAAGCTTCTGTGTAGGCAGAGTAGCAGGTGTCTTTACAGAAAAAAAGAAGCTCCAAGAATCATAGCAGTTATGGTCCTAAATAGTATATAGTATATACTATTTAGGACTAGATATGACTAGTCCTAAATAGTTATGACTAGGTGTGAATGATCATGTTCCATGCTACACATGGAACATCAAGAAAACAAACTCACTATTCCAGCTGAAAGAGAACAGCTACACATACCATGTGGAGTTTTGTAATAGTCTTTTCTTTGACATCACCAGAACATTTTTTCTAAAAATATACTTCAGCATATGTGTATTTATATTCCATGCTCAGTGAAAAAATATTTTGCTACTGTTTCAACAAAAGTAAAAGTATCAAAAAGCAAAGATTTGACAGTGGAAGTAAAGAAATAAAATGTACTGCTAAAACAAATAACCATTTTTAATTATGAAATACATTAACAAAATGTAGTGTATGATCAGTGTGAAAAGTAAATTTTTCAAAATGTTTATTTTGACTTTTGTGTTTTTAGGTTAACTTCCATTTTACAGAGTATGCCACTTTTAGCATCTGCTGTTTATACCCACTATATATTTTTTAATCAACATTTCTCAATAACTGGAATGTAACATTCCTTTATTAAACCTCTATTAAAGTTGTACTAAACACAGCATGTTAACTTTACATGCTTGTACATCATGCTTTCCATGTAACAAAACCATGCAGATTAATTAGACCAATGGTTAAAATATTCAGAATCATAGCCTTAAAACATTGTATATGTGTTGATCAGGATATGCTGCCTCATATCTGAACATCAGAGGAATGTTAGTCTCTTAATGTAACTTTGAACAATGGACGCACATTATGACCATGTTAATAGGTGTATCATGGTGTGTTGCCATGGAATTCTATTTATTAAAATGTGTTATCTGTGTATTTTATTGCAGTACAAGAATACCAGAGCAAAACAGCACAATATTTCTTGAAGAAAACCCCGAAAACTGAAACTACATTTGAAACTCATATTTAGAAGTACTTGGAGAATTAGTTTTTGTATTATACTGTTAGCTAAGAGTTAGCTAGCTTTAAGTTCTCATAGGTCCGCTGACACTTTTAAATCACTGTTATAAGCCCAATGAGAAACCCACAACTGGCTTATGATTCTGAAGATATTGAGCTTAATCTATTAAGCCTATTAAAATCTCCCCAAAGACAATCCAATTGAGAAATTCTCAAACAAAGATCTTTGCTGCTTTGACTTTCACTAACATCTTACTTCCCATCCCAACACACATGTAGACAGATAATTAGCCCAATACAGTCTGCCTCTTATCAGGCAGTGCTTAATGACACCTCTGCAGCGTGAGGCGACAGTAATCTGCATGGCCTCTACACCCCTGTCAGCACACAACAAGCCAGTCTCCATCTCACAAGTCCATCAAAGTATGTGCGAAGCCATGTACGTTCACACTGTGCCGGGCCATTACAGAGGGTGTTGGCTTAGCAAATGTCACAAACACTTCACAGTCACTCAAGAGATGGAAACTGAGGCACCATCAGTGCTTACTTAAAGCTTTGCAAATAAAACACAACCCAGATATATCCTGTAAACTTTGAAAACTGAAAGAAAAACAATGAGGAAGGAGAGCATTGCAACAAAAGAGGCCAGGATGTGTTACGTGAAGCAGAATAACTGTCAACTTAGAATGAGAGCAAAGGACGCTTCCTCACCAGGGTTATATTTTCATTGGGGTGTGTGTCCTATGGTGAAAACAGCTGTACAACTGTGCTCCGCCATAGCAGCAGCACAAATCTGTTAGCGGCACGGGTGTTGCCACATCACAGCGGCCAACGTGTGTGATCACGGATAAAGAAAGAGTGCGTCCTTCTATCTGCGGCCTGTGGATGTTTAGAAAGAGGCTGATTAAGGACTCTGGAGTGTTTAGATCTCACAGGATGTATGTGAAGTTTGCATGTTTCAGTGACAGTCTCTACATGAAAGGCGATACTCTGTGAAAGAAAGCTCTGCAGCATTGTGGGTCATTTGTGATGTTATGGAGCTGACAAAATCCTCTAATGATTTTCCAAGACTGACTTGGGGCTGGAGTTAGAAAAGCCAATATTGTCTGCCTGCTATGGACTTCTAAATATAACATCCTCCATGTTAAAAAAGAGATTGAATGGAACATATTTCAAAGAGAACATTGTTTTTGTTCTATTTGGTTCCTGAAACAACCTACTAGACTAGGTAGTAGTTAATTATTTGTTAACTTTTCCAAATAATTTTACTTTTAACAGAGTAAAGAATGTGACTTCTTAGTAACCTCCACAATGTGAACTATTTCACTGGAAATATTCTCTTTCCTCAAAGAAATAGATTTCCCTCTGGTGGTCAGATACAGAAAGAAACTACACTAGTAGGTATCCTTTTGAATGCATGGGCAGCTTATGAGCTGAAACAGTGTATTCTTCTTATCTCAACTGCATTCCTCTAAAGCTCCCATTCTGACGAGAGGTATTCATGAGTGAATTACCCTCCAGCATCTAAAGCCTCTCATAAGGTTCAGGGCTTGGATTCAGTGACGGTAACTACTTATAAGAAAACTCAGTTACATTCCCTGGAATGCCTTCTACCCACCTGAATGAGTCTGCCTCAGGTGAGAAGCTATTTTCATGTTGGGAGCATAAAGTCACAAAACTAAGACCTGTCCAATTAAAAGAACCCAGCAGTGTGTGTGTTAAAATTGCTTTCTCGTCCAATCGGAGAGTCACTCTAGAAAGAACCTTTCTTAAATAGTGAATGTGCTAAACCCAGGGGCTGATGTTTTAAGAAAAGCACTGTTTGTTGAACCTTATCATAAGTATGCAACACATTATTATACAACCGATGCACAACGGGAAGCTGTCAACTTTAGTACAAGATAAAAATAAATTTTACTTAGACTTGAAAAAATGAAGCAAGTTTTAAAATATTCATCTCTATATAACTGATATTTATTTTATTAGTCACTATACAAAAACACTTGAGGAGAAGTGGATATTATCCAGATGTTTTATTATTTTGGTAACCATCTCAGATGTTCAGCCAACAGGGTTTCTTTGAATTTTCTGTTTTAGAATTCCTAAAATGTCTACATTATCTGACAAATTTTATAATATTCTGGATATCTGACAAACCACATCATACTTGAAGCAGTCTTTCCATTCAGCAGCATGGTACAGCGGTTTTGTCATATTTTTACATATGAACTAACATAGATCACCCCTTTTTTTTATTCTACAACACCATGATTAAATAAATCTGGATCAGATAATTTTACATTATATAACTATTCTGTAAAGCAGTTAATGATTTTGTGAAATAAGGCATTTTTATCGTATATGTTATAGTAAAATTACAAAAACTGCAATTATTAATACAACAGATAAATGTGGTTAAACTGGCTGGTTTATATTTTGAATGAGTTTAAATTTAGAAGAGAATTCTATCACTCATTCATGATTACAGCTAAAAGAGCAGAATGTAAATTTTGATTTGATGAATCTAAAGAACGTCAGTACGATTTATAGAAGTTTAAATTTTCACCTGTTAGTAATAAAATAAGAATTTAATTAACATGATCTTTTCTTTGTATTAATCCAGATTTAGAAAACAGAAACGTTTACTTCTGTAGTGTTAAAATCAAGTTGCAATATATTTAACTGACTGCTTTTGATTAAAATTTCAAACTTATGTTTTCAAACATTTTTACATGCTTTTCCATTTCCCTCTTCAACATTTACAAGTTAAACAATGGTCTCATTTTCAAAGATCATTGGAATGGTGAAAGTAAAAAAAAAAAGAAAATGGCTGTTGTAGTTGCACAATCCTTAACATGGTCAACACTGCCATCTATTGGACAGACATAAGGACTGATAATGGACATGTTCCAACAGAACAAGGCTAGAAATGACCTTTGAACCCAGTTAGAATTCTGTGTTGGAATTTGATCCTGTAAACAACACCAAAAAAGTTGTTTTAGAAACTTTCACTGAACATAAAAAAAATTTAAATTCACAAAAAGAAATAATTAACTGGACATGAGGAGTCCTGCACATTAAAACGTCCTTATAAATCTTTTTTTTCCTTCTAAAAATGTCACTAATGTGAACAAACAGAGAATAGTGAAGCTTGCCTGTTTGTAGGGTTTTTAGTGGCTCTATCAAGAACACACAATGAACCAATACAAAATACAAACAGCATAACACTGTTGTTTTTTTATTTTTCCATACCCCTATAAATAGCTGTGGACATAATTCAATATTTTTGGACAAATGATACAGAAAGAAGCATGTAAAAGTGGCCACAACACACAACTTGAACTTACAGATATGCTCCAGATCTGCATGCCATCAGTGTAGCCAATCATGAGGCAGAGGGGCGGGTCTGAGGTGCCACTGTGCATCTCCAAAAACTCTGGGTTACGAGCTGTGTCTGTCCAAACAGAGAGACAGTTTGATTATCTTACTGCCTCTGAACCCTCCACAGAAAACTGTCATTAGGAAGCATCATGTTTGCACCACATAAGACTGAAGGTGACACTTTATTTCACCTGACAAGAAATACTATTTTCAAGAAATCTTCCCAAATAAACAACGTTGCATCAGTTGTCTGCCATCTGTCCTTGTACTCTCTGCAGAGGTATGTTTGCTTCTGCTGCCAGTCCTCAGCCAGTTCTTCACTGGTTGTATGCAATGCAGCAACACACCGACTCTTCAAAAATATATGGTGTTGCTTGCTGGACCGGCTACCCCATTGAAACATGGTCTTATCTACACTTAAAGCTGCAGTATATAACTTTTATTAAAAAAAAAATATGTTTTACATACACACTGAAGCTGGATCAAAAGGTGCTCAGTGATAGATAAAATGATTTACCTCAGGGTGTCCACATCTGTTCAACCACGTTACTGTTTTTAGTTCAAACAGATTCAGCTGTTTTTGTTGAATTGTACATGGTACGTGTGATATTTTTAAATTTTCAAAAAACTGGAATATTAACAATGTTATGAAGAAACAATATATTAATTTCACCAATGCCTGTCCTAAACTGAACAGAGTTTGTTTGTTTTTTGAAGTGAAACATCTTCAGAGAAGAACAGGTGAGCAAAATGTAAACTACCAACACTGCTGTCTCCTTCACCAGGGACTGATGAAAAGAAAGAACTGGTACAAAATAACAAAAAGGTTAAAATCCCTTATCAAACAGACACTATTTCCTTCTTTTCATCACTTACCGTTAACGTCCGCTTTCTCAAATCGAACCCAAATGATTTTTTCTTTCTCATCAGTAGGTGGAGCTCCAGTATATGCCTGTAGTTTGAATGATCAAGAAGGCAGTGAGCAAAATAGATTAAATTCACACAAATAGAATCAAAGTCCAAAACTTGTGTGAATGATTCAACTCAGGAAAAACAGCAATACTTATAGCAGAGAAAGATGAGAGATTAACACAATTACAGAATGAATAGCGGGAGAAAAAAATTGGAAACAATGAGTCTGGAGATGTCCCTGACAAATGCAGGAAATTAAAATGAAGTTCCAGATTATTAGGAAGTATGCAAGCATCTTCTGTTTGTAAGGGTTTTTATGTGACATCCTTTTTTAAAAAAGGAGATTTTCTTTTAGAAATATTTTTTAAAAATCAGTTTTAAACATAATTGCGTTTAAAAAAAAAAAAAAAAACTTAGGGGAAAATCATTTTAACATTTTGTAAAATTATTGTTCTGTTAAGCCACAACAGTTGGTCTAATTTGTTTCAGTACTTTTATTTTCATTTGGTAGCTGAACTTTGACTGTTTTTTGTTAGCCAAATCAGTTTATATTTCTATGTATTTATTTTGTATTTGTAAAATATATACACATAAAAATTCATAACCCCTATGCCTCTCACTTCTTGCCCCAGCAGAAAATATGGGTATAATTATTGAGGTATTTAAAATATACTGTAATATCATTGTGTTTGGCAATGTCGCTCACCACTGCACCCTACACAGGTCCCCTTCAATTTGTCCATCCCAAGGCAACACAGAGACAGACAGGACAAACAACAAAGCACACACGCACACACACACACACACACACACACACACACACACACACACACACACACACACACACACATGCTCACATTTAAGGAGAATTTCTGGAGATCAGTTTGTACTGTGGGAGGAAGCCGAGATACCTGGAGAGAAAATGGCTAATTGGGAACAACTTGATCATTTCCAATCAGGGGTTTGGTTGCCAACAGTTTAAAGATTAATAGCTGTGTGTTCAGCTATTTTGAGGAGACAGTGTTGCCATGTTTTCAGAGTTGACCCATAAAAAGAAATAAGAAATGCATGACAAAAATATGAGGGTTGAGCTCAGTGTTGTGAGATACTATAAATGTATCTGAAAGTGTTTTGGTCCAAACTCTGTGAGATGTGAAAACATTTCTCTGGAGAAATCAGCGTACCGAAAACATCATCTAATCATCCCCTCCACAACAAATGAGAAACAGTTACCTGAGGGACCACATCCTGCAGGAAGGTGACAACACTTTCCATGTACGACTGCTCCCTGCCAAAATAAAGTGTTCAAGTAAAATAACAAACTGAGATATAATAAAATCAATACTTTACCTGCCTTTTGTAGCATGTTTAGTTGAATGAAAAGTTAATTTTAGCTAAACTTTTTTCTTTTTGATATCACAGGTGTTCTAACAAAGTATATTTCTAAAAAAAAACACAAGTAGTGGTTAGCTTAATCTATCTTTAACAAATAAAAAATATCCAAACATGTCATATATTTTTCTAATTCTCGTAGATTGATAACAAGGAAGTGCAAAATGAACTGCTCTGTTTTCAATCATTTGGAGTTCATTTATATATTCTGTAAGTTCAGTGGGCCAAAGCAGGACAGTATTTCAAACTAAACAATATTACAGTTTGAATTACTCTTCTGAAAGTAGGTGATGATAGCAGTCCTGACTAAAATCTTAGTATCTAAGAATGATTTTGTGGAAAAAATATGAGGAACATGTTTTGTTTAGGCCATTGAATTGTCCTAATCTGTCCTAATAGTAGTCCTTGTTCTAATAATCACTAAGCCTCAACCCATTTTAGTATATATTGCCAATTTGTTTGATTTGTGATAATGTGCTATCCAAGGTGAGACTCAGGAGTTTTTAAAACAATATTGCAGGCCTTTGCATGCTGATAACTGATGTTCAAAATATGCTTTAATCTGTTTAATTGAGTTTCAATTTCACTTGGTTTAGTTAAAAATCTACAACTACTTATGCATTTAAATAATTGCAACTAAATTGCAATTATTTCAACTGCAATTAAAATTGAAACACTTTCAAGAACATAATTAAGGTATCCCTACCACAGTTATGCAATTTGTTTTCATAATTTTATTTCTGTTTCTCTCTGCTTTATGTAAAACAATTCAAGAAAGAAACCAATTAGAAGAAGCAAAAGATTTGAGATTCGGGTAACATAGCAACTGTAAACTTAACAGACATCAAATGTTTTCTATAGTCTGTACAAGTTACTTTGTTGTGGACCTGTGATCAAACATCACAGAGTGGCAGGTAGGGCAGCACAACACACTGTAAATTTATCATGCCAGCAATACCACGATAAACAGTAATGCCTAGTGGAATAATTTCCATCCCAGTAATGCTGTGGATGATGGTTGATTATTGCTGCTGAAAATGTTTTTGAAGTGGATTGAGAGGTTTTGGGAAAGTTATTAATAAACTGCAACTGTTTCATTCCTGAACAGCAGACACAACCAGATGCACCGTTTTCAATAACCCCATGTTCTGAAATTGAAAATAATAAACCCAATTTTTTTCCAGAGACTGAGTAATCTATCTGGCCCTATGTTTGATAGAACCTAGCAAACATAGCTGCAATGTTTGCTAGGTTTTAGCACTATTAGTAAAAAAAAAAGGACTAATACTATATATTTGCTTAGTTATTATGTCATAACAATATCCCTTATATTCTTGCACTTTATGTGTAGACATCATCCAATCCCAGTGGCAACATCTTGATTGTTAAATGAATACTGAGATAAGAAGGTTATTGTTCTTACGTAGCAGCTTGAGCTCGGACCAAAACTCCCCCGGCACAGCGGCTCGGTCTGCGGGGAGAGTCAGACGCCATCCTTCTCCTGCTTCTTCTTTATACCTCAAGAGAGGACAAGACAATAGCATATAAAAAACATAAATATTGAGTTGGATTAGAAAACAAAAAACAAATATAAGGATCTGAACAAAGGTATGAAGTCAGCCTTTTCTGAGCAAAAGAATAAATGGGGAAAAAAATGACTGGAACGTTTCCATTTTTAGGTCTGTTAAGATTACTAAAATTCTTTCTCCCTGCAAAATGTCAGGTGAAAGATTTATTTATTTTTTTCTAAAAAAAAAAAAAGTTCAATCAGAAATTTTAGTTACTATGGAAAAAGGGCAGCCAAATTAAAAACTGAAATGAGGGGAGGAGAAGAGACATCCGATCACACTGCAAACACGCTTGGAGATTTGGACAACTGTCTCCTGAACTATGAAATGGACTCTGGACTTAAGAAATTGAACATTCTGTTCTAAATCTTTGCTCTACATCAGAAGAGGAAAGGTTTTTGGACCAACATGTCCATATGTTCACCCAGGCACGTAAAGGAACAAAGCTCTACAGTTAACAAACTTCAATTTTTAGCTGTTTCATTATTAACTTAAAGGAAAGTAGATTTGATAATGACAAAAATTATTTCTCACAATGATAACACATATTCCCACAAAGCAAATAACTTATTGTAGGCCTTTCTTTAGGACACAGTACAGTATTAGCAGAATGACACAGTATACGAACACTGAAGATTTCAGAGGCAGGAAATGCTGCACTAAGGATTAATATGAGGGACTTAGAAAGCAATCTAAACTTTTTACCTTTACCTTAAAAAAACTGATAAACAGCTAGATTTATTTTATTGGTGCAAGAACCAGATGTCACACAAAAAGTTTGTGTGACAAACCTTTTTGTCACACAAAAAAATATGGAATCTGCTTTTTTGCAAGAAAGCAGATTCCATATTTATTAGAAGGTCAGTCAGAGCTGAACAAACAGCTCGTCATCAACATGACTAACCAACAAAGCGACATGCAGGGGTCAGCCGGACAGCTGGGCTCCAAGCACCATCAACACCAACACTGGTTGAACGTCACAGAAAATGAAGACAAACTGGAGTAGAAAGACCAATCTGAGTGTGGACTACATGGATGGAGCAGTAACACAACACTATCAGGCAACCAGACAGGCGGACTGTTGAGATAAAATCCCCCCAAACATCACATTGGCAGGTTTGCTTCTCTCAGCCCCTGCTGTTGCCCACCTCAACGTGTCTCCCTCTCACCCCCACTTCAAACCATCCGTCACACAAGGCGAAGTAAGACACCTGTCAACAGATCACCCCAATTAGGTAACGATGAACTTCTGTTGGTAGCACCCAAAAGCTATTGTAGCTAGCCAAACAGCTAGCTGGTAAATTTCTATTCAGCGATGAACGTCATAGTAACTTTCTGAGTCTATTACAGACTTGTTAGGTTACCTGTACTGCCAGGCCACTGCAGCTACTAACCGGAGCGGGAAACGCTGACTGTCCGCCTCTTTCAGCTCGGACTAGAGCTGAACAGGAGAAGAGAGGAGCTCCACAGTAAACAGTCAAAACACAAACAGAGGAGAATAGCGGAACTGCGTGGTGCAATTGAAAGCCAATCAGAGCATTGGACCGATGCTGTCAGGCCAATCGACCTACAGTAAAGGCGGGACTTCTGATTTCGTCATAAAAAGATATTTGCAAAATAAATTCCTCTAAAAATATGTGTAGGAAATACAGCAAAAATGTGTCTAGAACAACTTGTGCATATTGGTAACATATTTACTAGACCGAAGTAGAATAGAATAGAATAGAATAGAATAGTGACTACAGAAAAAAGAATGGTGAATGACAGCACTTACACCTTCCTCCTGGCTCTCAATGATTGTTTTGAGTCATGCTTTTCTAGATAGCAATAACTGCCCTGGGAGGTGGAGGAGCTTAATTTTCTTTATCTGTCTCATACCACATTACCGTGACAATGACAGTTTTAACAAATATGTAAAAAAAAAAAACAACAACAACAAAAAAAAAACACGTTTTTATAAAAGTTGCATACTGCATTTATCTTATTTTTTAATAACTGATTGGCTCAAACTTGCTTTTTTTGCATGGCGCCTTGATGTGTTGTGAGTTGACTATATAAATAAACAACTGGACTGCATAAAAATTTTAAACACCATGTTATGATTGGGAAATAACCACACATTATCTGTCCGTTATTGTTTTATGAATACTAGTCTGATGATGTATTATAGAACAATAGAAAAAGGAGTGACTTTGTGCTCTGGAACTCTTAAACAGAAAGTCCTACACACATATACAGAATAAATACAAACAACTTCTGTCCAAAACATAAGAATTTAAGACAATACATCAACCAACACAGCTGTGACGACAGCTAGGAGGTGGTGGAGTCATTTTGTGGGCTGAAATCATTGGGAGAGAGAGAGCTGGCCGGCCCCTTCAGAGTCCCCGAAGGTGTGAAAATGACCTCGGCAAAGTATATGGACTTTCTGACTAGTCACTTTCTTTCATAGTTCAAAAAGAAAAGCCATACTTTCAGTAGCAAAATCATGTTCATGCGTGTCAATGCACCATCTCATGCTGCAAGGAATACCACTGTGTCATTGACTGCTATGGGCATAAAAGGGGAGAAACTCATGGTGTGGTCACCATCCTCTTCTGACCTCAACTCTATTGAGAACCTTTGGAGTTTCCTCAAGCAGAAGACCTGAGGGTGGGAAGCAGTTCATATCAAACAGCAGCTCTGGGAAGGTTTTCTGACATCCTGCAAAGAAATTCAAGCAGAAACTTTCCACAAACTCACAAGTTTAATGGATGCAAGAATTGTGCAGGTGATATCAAAGAAGAGGTCCTGTGTTAACATGTAACTGTTTAAGATGTTTTTGATTGAAATAGTTTTTGATTTTGGGATATGTGACCACTTAATCCTGCACATTCAAAGAATGATCATTTGCAGTTCTTCATAATCCATAAAATGTTTTGAAAATCTGCTGTGCAGAATAATTTGGAACAGTGCAATTTGAGTTTTTTTATTTTGAAACAAACTCTGTTCTCATGGGGATCTTTGTTCAGTCAAATTTTATTTAGACTGTGATAGTTCATGACTTGAAAATTATACTGACCATCATTTGTATTGACCATTTAAGAAAATCTGAGAAAATATTACTTGCATAATAATTTGGAACATGGTGTAGTTCAGGCCTCCTTCCTGAACTACACTGTGTCCTGTCTCATAACATAGTGTCATGAAATAGCAACATAGTTTTAACAAATATATAAATATCATATCCTGTCCAGAATGTATAAAAATTACATTCTGGACTTTTAAAGTTCTCCAAAGTTTTAGCAGATTTGATAAGATGAGATAAAATGTTCTGTATCAATCTTTGCTTTGCATCATATCACTAAGCTGTTCCTGTTCCATAATTTTATTTTACCTTTTGTCATTCATTGGGGTTATGATTGTGTGACCAAGGATCATGGTGATAATATTGGTGGGTCCACTTCAACCCTTTATTCTGTGTCAGAAGTTTTCAGTGTTTAAGCCTAAACTCATAATTATTGGAATCAACCTAAAATTAGAGGTGATACACATCATCAAGGGGTATGAAGAGCTTGATTGATATAGGTGTGATTCAAGGATCAGTTTAAATATAGTTGTATGTTCACAGTCATCACTGAATAACAAGATCTCCAGAGTGGTGTATGCAGAGATGTTCAGCTTTCTCCCAAAAATGCACCTGTTTGCTTTTTACTCCCAATGTTTGTGTTCCTGTAATGACAGTCTGTGCATATAGTTTTCAAATGAGCCATACACCAGGGCTGTTGTAGTTAAACAGGGTTCTGTTTTCACTACATTAACTACATTGCAGACAGTCGAGCATCACCTCTTCCTTGACATCATGAATGGCTCAATTAAATCACTGACCAACATTAATGTTGATCTTGCAGCACACACACAAACATTGAGGGACAATGTCACAGAGAGAGGAAACCATTCAGGATGAGCTGTTGTGATGTGATTACTTTTCATTTGATGTGAAAAATTATTCAAAGTCAATGAGTCGGAAAGTGTTGTGCAGTCTGTCACAGGAACTGGCATTGTTTACTTCCCCTCCAGCACATCATTTGCTCTATCTCACAGTCACAATTATTCTCTCTGTCTTACTGTCATACACATTGCACTACAGTGTATCACATGCCTCATTTAACTAGCCTCCATTGCAACGCATGCGTTTGTCCAATCCCTCATGTTTCTGCTGCTCCATTGTGTGTGTGCATGTCTGTGTGTGTATGTGTTTTGACTATTTATTTTCATTTACATGAAAGTTGTTGTTTGGAAAATTCTGTTTGATGATAAATGTATGTGCTGCCTAGCAGTGCTGGTCCAGTGCACTGTGCTGGATGTGGTTGTGTATTTAAACCCAGTATGAGCAAGTAACATGTTCAAGAGTACCCTATTTATGAAGTACAAGTATTTTATTTTTTTTTTTAAAAAAAACTATTTTTAAATGGGAAGTGCTTTCTTTATTGTGAAAAAGTAGTTGTCCCCTCACAGGCTTCCTAAATGCTACTCAAAAGATATCAATATACCCTGATGTTAAAAAGTATTTCATACAGCATTCTGATGTTTTTGCTTTTTTCTGGTCATAATAAAAGGTCATATTGTCAGCATTGGTTTCACTGTCGTTGTTGTTCAATTGTTGAAGGATTTAATAAAAATTGAAAATGTAAAAAAAAATTGATAAAAGGGAAAACTTACAGATGAAGAACAGAACATGAAGCATATGCAATGATGAGAAACAAGCAAAGAACAATGACAATCTGTGAGCTGTTACACTGATGTAAGAGTGGAGCATGATATCGAACGCAGGCGAGTTGATTAATGGGATTCGGAACAGCTGTGGAAGAGAGCAAACAGGCAGACAGATGAAAAATGACGAATTAACAGAAAAACATCTGAATCAAACAGAAAACATCTACAGGTAAAGACTGAGTTCAGAGAAATAAATCCAAATCTACAAATAATGCAACACAAGAGTAAGAAACTGAATATAAAGGGATGAATCAATGTCAATACTTTTCAAGTAATAATGAACACAAATCAGTTAAGTAATTAAGAGTTATTAAGTAATAATAAAGAACTCAGAAATGATCCAAGCTAGAACACAGATGCATACAAAACTGTATCGCTCCAGGATCATAGCAAAATTTTGACTAGGTCATTCCAAAACTAGATCATTGTTCCACTGGATAGCCCAGGTGTACTTAACTTTAGGGAAACAACCAATCAGAGACAGGAGACTGGTCTCATCATTGTCAATCACAAGGTCATGTGGTGCTGCTCACCACCCTCTCCTCATTTCTCTATACTACTGATTTTCCCTCAGCAAATCTGGTATGAATGCTCAGGGTAGTTAGCATTGCCATCAATGACAGGGGATGAACAGCTTGGGAAGAAGATGAGCTTTTAGTTGCACAGAAGAAAGCTTCATGACAAAAAAAATCTCCTTTTCGAATAATTCCTTTCAGTAATTTATGCACAATGTAGTAATGATGCAGGTCTTTTCCTGCATGATGAAGTGACGTTTCACAAAACTAAAGAGATATAAGAGAGGGTCAAAGAACAGAATACTGAAATCTAAAACCAGTAGCCAGGAAAGTCCCCAAATCTATTCATCACACTGAGAACCTGTGGCGAGAGACATAAGCAGGAGCAGGAATCACCAGATTCCTATCACCAGATTCCTGCTCTGACTCTCTGTGTCACACTCTGCAATAAGCTCACACCTATGGAATGGCTTCATATGTTTTGTTTTTTGGGTTGTAAAATAGTGGTGTCAACCGTTAGGAGCAATGTGTTTTGTCTTCTGTGGTAAAGGTGTCATACTGTTGTACTGTTGTTTTGGAGCAGATGTTAGGATCACCCTGGAGGTGACTGTGTGCAAGAAATCTGATAAAATAATAGCTCTTATAGATTATTGTGGGATATGAAAACCCTGATATGCTCCTGCAGAGTTTCCCATTGTCCACTTGAGGGCAGTATGATCCCAATTCTGAAACTTTGAGGGCATCCTCCCTCTTTGTTCTCCTGCCAATTTCTCCTCGTCTGCTACCCGTGCACCCCTACCCCCACCCACCCAAAACAACATCTATGAGGAGAGAAAAAGACAGAAAAAAATGTATCCTCGGGTTAAAATAAATAGCCTTTCACAGTTAATTTAATTGACTATTTTGTACACAATCGAGGTAATTCCGCCTCGGCTGCAACAGCAAACAAGAATAGCATTGCCTCGGCAATCAGTTACCAAACAAACACACAGAGAGAGGCTTTAATCTGCTTTTTATCACAGAGGAGCCATGGCTGAAGTTTGCTGAGACATTGCAAGCCACTGTCTTTTTTTTTTATTTTTGTAACATCCGGGAAGAAAATTGCTATCATTGCTGCAAGAAAACAAAACAAAGACATGTAAAAATGTGTTCAGTAACAACAGTTAGAAAAAAAAACCTCCAAATGGCTACTGTACAGTGCATCTATAGATCAGAT